AAGCGTGTAATAGGCAAGAAAAAAACCATTCAGATTCCTCTAGCCTCCTTCTAACATCGCTGGAATGCCAGGAGACCTTTTAAGTAATAGCAAACATTATGAAATGGAAGACGACATAAAAGAAAATGTTAATACCCCAGGAGTACTCTGGTCCTTCCTAACTTTCTGCATAAAGGCAAGAACTTCATGTGTACTTTGGCATCCAGAATCTTATGAAATATTTTCTTTGCATATGCTGAGACTTTATCTGTTCATTTCAGCTTGGACCTGCAGCAATGCTTGCAAAAAGAAATTGGAAAAGGGAAACTAGAGTGGAAATACACAGTTAAATTCTCCACTTTATTCCAGCATAAGCGATTAGTTTGTGGTTAAGAAGAATATAGACTCCTATTGGTGGAAAAAGAAGCCAAACAACCTCCTTTTCTCAAATAGTAAAATATATTCTTGGCCAAAGAAATTTAAATTAGTCTACGCACATTATTTATCAAATGCTGTCAATTCACGCGGTCCTTGTGCTCTCTAGAGGCCTCAGAGTTTAAAGCTCAAATCCTGAAATGAGATCTGCTTAGGGGAACCCCTGCCCCTACACTGACTTCCAGCCACAGCAGGTCCCCGTGTGGACACAGAGCATCACCTTACAAGACAGGGACCCAACTGACATTAATTGTACCAGGTAGCTACTAATTAAGTTGATACACAAACCGGGGGCAATTGGCAGACAGACTACTTTGAGAATAGTCCCCTGGACCAAAAGCCAGTAGGTAGTGCTTTCAGCAAAGTAACCTTTCCCAGCATAGTTTCCTCATTTGCTAATTCCTTTCATTATGCCAAGAGTGAGTTTGTTTGACTTCTGTGAGAAATGGGCTTGCACTTCTGAAGCAGACAAAAACCCCGTGAGGAGATGCCGCACTTTTCAAACAGGAATTATGTTCCTGGTGCTGGCCAAGCAAGAAGATAAAATATGCATTCATGCTGAAAGCATGGGTTGGAAATCTTTTATCTTTGACACAAAAAGAAGGTCTCCCTGGACTGGAGTAACTGTTTGACCTGAAGTGCTTGTGGAAAGTGGCCTTAAAACCTGAGCAGGCTTGCTGGCCAGATTAGCAGAACTGCATGGCAATTGGCATTTGGAACTAAGCACTGCACTCACGAGTACAAGGTTTGTTGCCGGTTTTATTAGTAGCAGTATATTTTTTACAAGACAAGATAAAAATGAGTACCGCTTGTAGAAAATGGAAGAGAGGGCTTCTCTAACTGAGCTGAACAGGGGTGGGTGAATACTGACTTTTCCTAAGGCTCTGTCAAAGACCGACAGCTTACTGCTATATGAGTAACATTTGATGACTGCCAGTCTTTAACCTACGGTAAAAGCTTTTCACGGTGTACACCAGCCTTCAGCCTCCTGTTCTCTACTCAATACAAGCCAAGGGTAAATGATACGCATTATTGAAATGTGCCTTTACTTCGAAATAACTCTGAAGTCACAGTAATTTGAATTAATAGGTGCAGTACTGAGAACCCAAATTACTGGCTGTGCTGTGCAGATCTAGGACAATCTCTGTGCGGTCAGTCCGACCAAATGTGAGTATTGCCACAAAACTTGAGGGCTGATCTCTGCTATCACAAAGGTTAATGAATAGGTTCCCAAGCAGAGGGAGGGAGAGATAGAAGAGTTCAGGGTTCCTGGTACACAGTTGCTCATCATTGTTTATGTACTGAATTAGATACCATGCATTTTCACATCCCATTTAACTGAATGTATTCAAACATGATAACTTCAAAGCTAAATATTCAAAGGACTTCGAGCAACCACAACTATTGCATTTTTTTGCCAAGTGCTAAGTTAAAAACCATTTGCTGTTCTGAATAAGGATTTTCTTTCTCCCTGGTATGTTATCTGTCTTCAAATTGCTACTTAGAACGCAAACAATTGAGTCTCAGCCCCAAACGTTGTTTATGCAAGTGGAGTTCTTGAACTGAAGTTGTATGTCTGTGTGTATTATTCTGCAGTTTTGCTACCACCATAATCTTAACTTGTGCTCTGTAACTCATGGACCATTTTGTCCTTTGGGCTTTTTGAAGCTTACATTGTAAGGCTGCTGCCAGATTTGTCAGTAAGTAAATCAGTAAAATGAGATAAGCTCCACTTGATTGATGAAGGTGTTGAAGATCATCTTGCTGTGGTATGCAATGGCTCAATGACTCTTTACTCATTTTGAAACAGACAACAAAAAACAACATGTAGAGGATTTCTTCTCTATTACACAGTCGTGCAGTAGATGAGGTGCTGCCTCCAGGGTGGGCCACTGTATACTGCTTTCCTATAGCCCTGCGTATTCCTCAACTGCATATTCCAGCATGGCATTTTTTCCCAAAGGAACACATGTCATCAATACGAATGCTGACCTCCATTTAACCTTCTATTTCCAAGCTTATCTTTCTATTTTAATTACCTCTCCAGCCTTGTACTTCAGAAATCTTTTATATGTTACATATATTTGAATGTCTACTTGATATACTGCCTTTTTTCACCTTTTATGCCAGGTATCCATCTATTCTATTCTTTAAGAAGTTTTTTATGTTTTGATGTGAAACTAGGGATACAGATGTGACAGTGGATTAATAACAGGATCCAGATCTGTGAGTAACTCAGAGCCAGTGTAGGGCAGCAGTTCAAGGTTATTGTTGTTCTGTGGCCCGTGTGAAATGAGTATGTAGATTTGTGTTGTTTCTCGGTGGACAGAAAGCTGTAAACTGGTGATGAGGTAGGCCAGAGGATGAAGGCACATACAGTGTGAACTGCGTTCACGGCCAGGCTGATGGGCAGCGATGGGGCATGAGGAGAGCTCTTCGGTCACCCGTGCTATCACTCCTTACGTGGGCTCTGTGCTTCACAAACACTCAGCCTGGAGCTTCCCCAGTAGATACCTATTTTACTTTAATACCCACTTCAGTCACCTTCCATTTAAGGGTGACTTATATTTGCACTGTATAAAGACCAGTGCCCTTATTTTTACTCCATCCTTCAATGTCAGAACTGCCTCTCTCAGATCCAGTTGATTCCATTAACACCTGAATAATAACAGGCTGATTAGTAGATGTGATACCAGTATGGTCTGTTTTACCCAGAAGAATAAATAGAGCTAGCTGTTTGGGAAAAGAAAAATTCCAGTGGGAATAGAGACAAATATTGTGACGTTTTTCTTTGAAAACGTAGCGTTCAGAAATAGAAGATGCATGCATCTTGAGGAATTTTTTCATTTTGTGACATACTGCAAACATAAGTGGTTAGCAGGCAGAAAAGCCAAGTGAGCTGGATGAATATCCAAACAGAGAAATCTGGCTAAAAGAAACAAATAGAGCTGGAATGGTGATGAAACATATGTTTGCAAGGAAACATTTTAATAGGCCAATGGAAAGGGTACAGTTCCCCACAAACATGGAAGCAGTGAACATAGAAATGCTTTAAAACTGCAAGTGTTGCCTTTAACTGGAGGATTCAGTACCTTCTTGGACACTGACATGTAGGGAAAGTATCTCCCTGGCAACCAGTGATCTAACACTGGTACCACAGTCCCGTTCTTGAGGGATTGCCAGCTGTAGTCATCTACTGCTCACCTACACCCTGGCACAGTAATCTAGCAGGCGTGTGTTACTGAAGCCATTCCCTTTAAGAAATCAGAGATGTTTTCAAATGAGGGGAGATCATCTCTGGAGAAATCTACATTTCAATTATTAGGTTTATTATATAATTACATTAAACACAGCAGATGTCTTCTGCTCAGTCTTCATATGGTATCTGCCTGTTTCTTGGAGAATCATCACAGCAAACTCAGCATGTGGAATGGCACGGGAGCTTGTGCAGCCACAAAACCCTGCTGCCACCCACCAGTCTGCAGACTGAAACATGCTGGGGGCAGCAAAAAGGAAAACCTGAAGAACTCAGCACTACAGGGCCAAGGGAAACTGGAGCTCACCTCTGCAGGGATGGAGACATCTCATCTCCCCTGTGAGCAGCCTAAGAGGAACCTGCTTTCAGCCTTTATGTGGATTTTGGTCCCTTTCCCTCATCTTCAGAGCCCCGAGGGGGCTGCAAGTGCTAAAGTCACAGCAGGGAGACGTTTTCTGGCCATGCACCTAAGGAAGAGACAGAGACCATCTTTGAATAAGCCCTGAGTGCTGCGGACTAGCACAGATGATGGGACCAAGGAAAAAAGGTCTCAGTTGCCTGTCCCGAGGTCCTGACTCCTACTATACTATTGGGACTGAGGGAGTACGTACCCTGCTCTTAGCTGCTTGAGACGGGGCTGGTCTAGTTGCTTCTCAGAAGTGTGTTTTCCATTAAGCTGCTCTATACAAGTTTTGGAGTCAGTGAAGGCGACATGTTGAAAAACAAATAAGAAAATTTAGAAAAGATGAGATCCAGATACTTAATATTTTAAAGAAATCTACACAATGGAAATAACTGTGATTTAAATGAAAGTACACGTTTTTTTCTTAGCACTACCATTCTTGTCAATGGAAAAAAAAAATAATCCTCTCATCTTACTATTACTTTGGTCAAAACCAGCAGCATCCAGAAAGCAAAAATAACAACTGTTTCTCTGGTGTGTTATTTGTTTGAATGTATGGTCTCTCTAACTCAGACCGCGAGCTCCTCGTGAGGCACTGGCGGCACTTGCAACCACGACACAATAGGATCCATTCTCACCTGGGACAAGTGAAGCTCCTCTGTGCTGTCCTGGTCCTTTAGTGTTTGTATCACTGTAGACCCAGAGTATGCCACAAGCACCCTTCTTTCGATGGCCTCCGCTCCCTTGCAGATGTTAACTGACTCAGTAACATCAGTAATTCTACTGGACTTCCGTCACTTTGCCCAAAAAGATGAAGAACAGAAGAGAGGCATGTGCTAGCTGAATTCAGTTCAAGTTCCAGCATGCCTCTTCTGTCCCAAAGTCTGCCAAGAATCCCCTCAGAACGTCAAGAAAAAAGAAACGACATATAATCTAATATTTTTAATTTTATGTACAGGCATATAACGTTATGGCAACTTTGTACATGAAATACATACAGTATTTAAACATGAAAATCAGCTAGGTAAGAATTTACATTAGCAATGAAACTGCTTCATGTGCAGCCCAGTTAATACTTAGTTTAGATCTGTATTTTATTGGGGAGAGATTTTAATAGTTTACAATCATAGAAACATAAACATTTAAAACAAGACTCTATAAAATAATTTACAGAAGCCCTACCATCTACACTGAGAGAAAGGGTGTATGTCTGTGAGTTTTGTGTGTGAATAACAAGGTGAACGAATGATGTATCTCAGCCTTTTAAGTATAAAATAATTTAGAAGCAGTTCATGCAATATGGAAGCAAAGGAGTCCAGTTCCTTCGAGGTTTCCTGCTACCTTGGACATCTACTGAGCATCACGTGTGGGTCACCGGACACATGGTAATACCGTTGCCAGATGCTACCAGAGAGCACCAGCCTCAGTTCCTCCAAACAATTACTTATGTAAACATAAATATACAAGTTGATATCTTTTCTACACAGTACAAATACAGGTCACAACTTCTCAGCTGTGCAAGTAGTCAATCCATATACTTGGAAGTAGGATAATGCTCAGAGTGGAGTTCCATATATTTCCATGTAGAGGGGCACTAACAGAACTTCCTTGTTTTCACCAATTTGCTCTGATATTTCACGGAGTGCCCGCCGTGCCCTATCACGTAAACGTCCAGCAGGTAGGACTTGCCAGGCTGCAGGCCTCTGATTGTCTCTGTGGTCACTGCTTTCTGGATGTTCTGGCTGTGGAAGTATTTACAGAGAACCTTTTCCGATTTCTTCCTCGTATCTGGGCCCAAGCACTGGTTCTGCTCTCTTCTCTTCTGCTCTTCGTTGTAGTTGTCATCCACTTCCCTTTTGTAGATGCAGAATTTGTTCCTCTCCTGCGTGCCCAGCCATGCCACTGTGACCGAAGAACACGTGCGGAGTTTGTCAAAGGCTTTGATTCGCGTATCTTCAGGAAGAGAAGGAAATGACTGCTTGTTAGGCCTTGTTGTAGCCAGGATCTTCAGCATAGAAGCACCTTTTTTGCTTCCTTTCAGCCTAATGAGATATTTAGCTTTTGCTTTTCCTCGAAGCTGGAACTGCCGCACACCCTCCACGTTTTGAGACAAGAGAAGTTTTCCGTCTCTTCTCACTTGGATCTGAACGGCATCCAGGCATGAATGAACGGAAAAGGTGACTTTTTGGTGAGATGAAACTGGAGCAAAACGTAGAAATTTGGCTCCCTTTCTCTTGATGAACACATCTGTAACTTTGCCATCCTTCAGTTCGACTGTTTTCTGTTTAGCCTCCTCCTTCGTTCTGGCAAAGGTGCCAACATATGCAGTGCTCATGTTAGTGTTGGTATTTACTGCAAACATGTCAAAGTAGTACTGCGTGTCAGGCTTCAGGTCTGACACTGTGAAGATGTTCTTGTTCCCGACACAAACTTTGTGCAGGTCAACTCTCGGCTTTGAGGATGTTTGGCGCCCAAACTTAGATGATGATTTTAGGAAACCACGTTCTTTGCCGGAGTTGTTGTCTGAGGGAAAGCCAAAATGGGCAAAGTCAAACGGACTGAAATCCAGACCTGGTTTTGGAGCCATCATGAAGGCATCATCAGAACTGAGCTTGGCTTCAACAGCACAGAGGCTTTTGAAATTGTGCTCTTTATTGATGACTATGCAATACTGAATTGGCTGTTTCAGTAAGGAGGCGGTGGGACTTGGTTTCCACGCCAGCGTCACTGTTGTACGTCCCAGAGAAGTGACATCAATTCTGGGATCGTAAGGTAATTCAGGGTAAGGTTGGTCTGATTCTGGAGTAGTGGTTGCATACACTTTAAAATGTGTATCTTTCTCTGTCGACAGCAGATCTAGTTGGTACAAACCTGATGGAGAACTAGAGGACACAAAGTACTCAACATCATTGCCTTTGTAAGAGAACAGCTCTGTGCCTTCCTCATTAGTAATCTGCTGTTTCTGCTGCTCGAGAGGTTCTGGTTCACCTAGATTATAAGCAAAGAAAAACATTTGTACAGACACAACCCGCAAATATGAGAAAATAGAACTCTAACAGACACTTCTACATAAAATACAAAAGTGAGACGAAAAAGGAAGGGTTTATCTTCTGAGGAAGGTAATTCTGTCAAATCAGAGAGGAAAACTGGTTTGGCACTCAGGTTAAAACCAAATGCAAAAGAAATTGCACCTGAGCAGTATTAATGGAGTCTGGTGAACAGTAGCTAATACCTTCTACTAAACTACTTCACGCACCCAACTTGGAGATGCCATATAGCTCCCCGGGGAACACTGCCTGTTTCTGGGCTTGGGCCCTTCGCCCTGGCACTGAGTCACGCTAAGACTTTGTGCCTAAATATGGTGGGGGTCAAAGGCGTGTATACAATACAATACAATGTATATGACATGTAGCACTTGTGTGAGAGGCTCTGGAAGCCAGAGACCTTTTCTCTCCACAGTAGCAGTTACATGTTTATCTGCAAATACACTCCGTGTCTACAGACCTGTCCCCTCCAAGGGGCAAGCTCAGCCCTGCTGCAATGCCAGCCCCGTCTCTCCGGTTCTTATCTTGTGTACACAGCTCACAGCGAAGCCCCCATGAAGTCGAGTTCCTCTGGGCAAACACAGTTTGTTGTGGCAGCAGCCAGTGCACTCTGTAACTACAATCTCAGCTTTTACTTTTACTTTTTTACAGGCCTTGTCGCTACCTGCAGCCAATTTCCCGCACAACAGCAGGACTGGGGCTGAAGAGCCAAACAAAGATCACACAGAGGGGCCTGCTGTGAGACTCAGCGTCACACCGAGCCTGGTCTGAGGGGCTTCAAATCCAGAAGAAAAGCAGATCTCTGAGGCACAAGACAAGTCATTGGTTGGCTGTTACCTGAACCTTCTCCGCTGGCTTCCTCTGGGAGCTCTTGCACACTCAGTTTCCACTCCAGCGGGGCATCGCATGGTGTCACTGTCACTGCTAAGGGAGTGTTGTCCTCTTCAACCACAAAGAAGTACCTAGGGGAAGGTTAACAGACCCATACATCAATAAATCCCGATGGCAGCCAATTGGCAGGGACTGACTTGACACGATCAAAGTTGGTCTCGGTGGGGCAACAGAGACAAAAGCGTTGCTTACAGGCAAGTGTGTGCAGAGGGAATGTGGAAAGGCTGCTGGGAGAGAGCTAAGGAGGCGAGGGGAGTCCCCTCACTTACACAGTGCTGCAGAGTTCACGCTTTGCTTGTTCAGACATGTCGGAGGGGTTTCTGGCCTCCTGCCCTCCTCTCCATTAGCTTCACTTTTTACCCCTACGCTAACTAGATACAGTATAAATAGTCACAAAGGTAAAAATGAGGGAAACAAAACCTTTCCTGGAATTTAGGGGTATGCTCTTCAAAGCGGGACACACATTTTATGCCATGTACAGGTAAGGGCCCTAGAAGGACATAAAGATACATACACCGTCAGCTGTCCTCCCACGTCCGCCCAAGCACTACATGTCATTTATTGTAAAACGTTTCTCACCGATGACGGCTTGAGGCGGTGTGTGTTATGAGGAGGAAGGTGGCAATGCTGGCCTTTCCTGTACTCTTTGGAGCCTCAGGGTCTTCCCCAACCTAACTTCAGTATTTTCTGACCCATAGGGTTGAGGCTGGGAAGTGGGGAGTTCAGACCAGGCTAGCTTACGCTGCTTCTTTAAAGCACAACAAGAAATAATGAAGGGAGACAAGTGTGGTGGGGTAAGCCTGTAGTTTTTAATTTTCTTCCTGCTCCCTTTGCCTCTAGACACAGTTAGTGGCCCCACTTCAGGGAACTTCTGTGGTCTGTGGGAGCTCTGGGTTTGTCCCAGAAATCAAATAAATTGGGTAGACCCTCAGCTGGGGAGGCCAGACCACGATGGAAACTCGCATAGCCACTTACTTCACCAGACAGAATACTGGCATTTGTATTTTTCTGGTTTGGATCCAATTTTTATTTCAAAACACCCAGCAAATAAACCTACTACCTTCAAAGTACAACTTCCTCACTTGAACTAGGCAGAAATACCTTTTAGGGGTGTCTCGGAAGAGGTAGCTGCTAATTTCGGCTCCATCTGGGATGACTGACGAATCATGAAAAAATGCTTTGTCCCGGATCTGCATTTGGAAGAGCTCCTCATCTCTGGTAGGTAACTTCTGGGGCCTGGAGCTGAGCGGCAGCAGCAGCAGCAGGAGTGGGCAGCGCAGCAGGAGCATCCTACAGCAACGACAGGGAGTCAGTCCCACCTGAGGAGGGCTGCGCAGCAGGAGCAGCCGCAAGCTTCTCCCATGCTGGTGGGCGAGACCGTGGCAAAGCACCAGTTTATTCACGAGCCGTGATCACTGACTCGGCTAGCCGCAAACTCGTGTGGCTCTTGTGGGCTGATTTACTGCTGAAACGCAGGCATACCTATAACAACATCACGTGCACCTTCACTGTACAAGCACTAGGAATACATATTGTAAGGACTAAGCTCGCATCATCACAGCACTTAGATAAAGTATGTAAATAAGATTTTTCCATCTTGAACTGTAATTGAAAGCAAGCCTGCGCACTGATTGCAAACTGGTATCTCTCCCTTTCATTAACAAAGAGCAAAAGCCTTCCACATACTTTGGTAGAGCTACAGTTTGATGTTTTGCTGTAGCAGAAATAGGGCTCGCTGGACATGGGAGCTAGAGTAAGCACAGAGCAGATGGAGGGGACATCGACTTCACTTTCCTTAGGAGATTCTGGTTGGGCTTCCAACAATCCTTTGAAAAGTAAATATTTCCAGTGAAATTGTTCTTTATAAAAATAGTGAATTAGGAAAACATGTGATATAAACCCACACATATTCAAAGCACATTGGTATTAGCATGCAATTCAGCAGGGCTTAATCCTCAAGCCTGATGGGAAATGCAAAATACAAAAGTGGAGAATCCCTTACAAATTAGGCATAATAATTCATAATCTCAGCCTTTCATTATTATGTCTGCAACTAGGTCAGTAATGATTATCCTAACATATACAGTGGGGACAGGCTGGAAATCTCCTTTCAGTACAGTAGATGATCTCATATGTAATGGCTCTGGTATGGGGGGGGCAGAGGGGAAACAAAGCCCATTTCTGGTATGAGTATAGCGAGTTTAAATTGCTAAATGGTAACATTTTTTAAAATTAGAAAAAAGAGGTTTAGACCGTTACCTAAATGGTGTTAGCCACTGGCTTCAGGGAGAAGCATGATAAAAAAGCTGAAGTGGCAGGAACAGTTTTATCTTGCTGTTACTTGCCATGACTGCGGTCATGCACCGCTCCTTGTACTGCACTGTAAGTTAACTATGGCTTTATATTAAACTCTTTCTTTTTACCTTTAACCTGCTGTTAAGATTGGGGTTCCCCCCCCACCCCCAATTGACCTTTCCCTAATATTTTACATAAAAAGAGCAAACATAAAGCTCCTTAAGAAGTGGCACGATGTAGTCTAAGCCATAATAAAATTGCTCTTCCCCTTCCAGCACTTTATGAAAATACAAACAGGTGCCCCTGGGAGAAGGCCCAGCAGCCTCCTCCTTCCCTCTCCCATGGCTTTACTTTCTCAAAACCCCAAAGGAGTCACTGGAGGCTGGTATGGACATGGTGTGGGACCCTCCTCCTCACTCCACCCCAGCCCCTCGGTCCCTTTGGGAGCTTTCAGCAAGCCCCACTTCCCAGCGGACCCAAAATCCCCACATGCCCCTTCCCAGAAGCAGCTGGCCAGCAGCCTGCCAGCCTCTGCCCTTCTCGTCACCTCATCCCTGCCAAAGCTCGCTGTGGGCACCAGCATCCCGAACGTGGGAATTCACCACAGGCAGCACGGGGTCTTGTCCTCTTTTTCACCCCCAAACTCCTAACAAAATCTTCCCAAATTCCCTCCCCCTGCTCCCTCTAGCTCCCCTTCAGCTGTGTGCTGCGGCATCTGCCTGTCCTACAGTTCATCCTGCTCCCAGTACAGCTAAACACAGCCATCCACGTGCAGGACAGAAGGTCTCCTGACACCACCAAGGCCCGCGGAGGGCTATTTTCACCCGCACATTGCTTCCTCTGCCTCTAACATCACTGTTATTTAATTGCTCCTTCTGCTGAGGGCACAGGTCCGACTAAGCTCGCACTCCCCTCCTCTCCCCTCCTCTCCTCTCCTCTCCGCTGTCCCTGTCCTTCATCTCTCTGTTTTCCCACTGAAACTGGTGCTGCAAGAGGGAAGAGAAAAACCTGTAGCAAACCCCAAAGTAACCATAAGCCACACATTACACGTACTGAAAACTCGCTTGCCAGGATGCAGTTTTATCTTTGCCTCCTTTCGCTTGTGCCTTCCCTCACACGCTACGCCTTCCTGAGCCTTTCCCCTCCCCGCCTGCCCCATATTCCTATATTTGCAGCCAGATCCTCCCTTCCCTGAGAGGAAAACCACAGGAAAGATGAAAGCAAATGCTTGAGGTTCACCTGGCAGAGTTTGCCTCACAGTCACGTCCCAGGTGGGCACAGACACCATGGAGGAGCCCCATGCCCCCTGCGAGCAAGTGGCAAGTGTGCTGGGTGGCCCTGCGGCAAGCTTGCCTGTTGACGGCCACGCTGTCTTGCGGGGAAGCCTGTGCTGAAGCTGCCCAAAGTTATTTTGCAGTTGGAGAAGGCTGTGCCCTTATTTATTCAGGGATAACCCAGCAACAGCACCACACGGCCACGGTTCCCCATATGCAGGGCTTAGAACACTTCATCTCTGGTGCATCATCTCACCAGTCACAAATTGTGCCCTTCCTTAGGGCTTGGGATGTTTTAGTAACAGGTTGCTGCAGTGCTCTGCCCTGCAGAAGGGAGAGAAGTAAAGGGCTCTACCTAAGATGTGCAATTGCTACTTACAGTTAAATGCCAATCTGGCTTTCCCAGCATCTGTCAAAATTTATCCCAACCAGGTCCTGGCTTAGCTTTTGGTGACAACAGCCATAGTTCTCGAATTCAGACTGAAGTGTTGATACTTATCAGCAAAGCTAATGACATGTGACCTTTTGGAGCAAAGATCATAAGTCAAAATACTTGCTGACTTGAGTCACCGAAGTCAGCAGAAACCTCCTCTCACACTAAGCGGGATGAGTTTCGTGTGCTCTAACACGCTGTTTATTGATTTTTCGAGTATTATCGTTGGCCAACAGGGAAGAAATTCTTTCCAACTTAATCACAACAGTTACAGCAGATTATTTGGTTAGGTAGGAAATTCGGACACTTTCTGCAGACAGCGTCCTCCGCATGAACTCCTTGAAACTGCAATCTTGTCTATTCCCATAGTCAGTTCCACTGCAATGTAGCCTCTATTAAAATAAACGATTTTTGATTATAGGACTACCCAGGCTAAGCTTCACATCTTAAATAATTTCACTAGCTAATTCACTTAAAAACCTCCTGTAGACAGTGTTTCTGTCCCCGTTAACAACTGCGGTGTAGCGACAAGGTACAGATTTGTCTCTGATTTCTTTACCTAATTGTAAAAGCATTTCAGCTTAAAAATTACTACAAAAGACCCCTTAAGGTTAGTTCTGTGATCCCTGCCCAGCCTGGGCAGGCAGCACCGGCCCACCGCATACACAAAACAGCAAGCTGTCAACTGTTACTGAAAAAGAAAAGTTTTATAATCTTTGCTTCTTTACAAGGGAGTCGGATTGTGAGTGCTTTCATTTTCACATATCCAGACTCAGAGGCTTAAAATGGACCCAATTTTCATGCGCGACACTTCCAAAGGCGGGACGCCTCAACAGCAAAGAGACATCCAAAACTCACAGTTTTTGGAAGCGGTGCTCTCAGTGTTACACCATCCTTTCACACCAGTTAATAAACAGATTTTATGTTTTGCAGTGCACTCATTATAATTTGGCAGCGTTTTAAGCTAAGTCCTCTATAGTTTACCCACGCAAAACATCAGGAGGAAAGCAAAAACATCATTTATTCATCCCCTGTTTCTTTCTGGGCAAGTTCACCCCTGGGCAATGACTTTGACAGAGTCCCTCAGAAAATACACTTGCTAGATGCGAGCGCGGGAATTCATGTTCTCTCACCCAGCCCTCGGAAACTTCCAGCTAACGATATTCTTGTCTCGGTGTGCCGTGCTCTGAGCTGGTTTCGTTTTTAGAAGCCAGGAACAAGCTGAGGCCCAAGCGCTGCACTGTAAAGCCATACAGATCACATGAAAGATGTTGTGTGATTTTTTTATTCTCCAGACAGTGCCATCTCCTAAATGCCTTTTATTCCCTTTTCTACAAGTTTGTCTTGTTTTCTTTTCTTTTAAACTCTGAGTCAATATTTTATTGATATATTCCTGCTTCCTGCTGACTGGAGGGATTTGCCTGCTGTTTATCACTGAATTTAAGAGAGCGCCAAAATAAACAGTCCTAAGTGAAATAATAAGCACCGACTTCCTTCTCCGGGATTGCAAAAGTGCCCTCTAATGGCCCTAATGGAGAGAATTTTTCCCCAAATTCTCTCTAAACCGAGCCTTAAACCTGAGCGCAAAGGTAACCCTCCTGCATGTCCCCCTGGGCGAGCTGAGGGGCAAGGAGCCGGGGCAGAGCAGCAGGTAGGGGACAAAGCTGGCACCCCTGCTCCCCGGGAGGTCACACCTTGGCCCAGCAGAAAGGGCTCGCTCGTCAGCCCAGCCGTGCCATGACACCGGCATCGCCAGAGGAGAGGGAGATGCCATGCAGCAACCACGGACACGGCACGCAAGGGAAGGTAAAAACCCACCACAGCTCGGAGGGACCAGAATGGCATACGTAGACTACAGTGGCGCTAGACCAGCAACAAGAGCAACACCGAAAAACATCCTGGAAAAAATATGACTTGGTTGTACATTCTTTCATTTCCAAAAGAAAGGGAAAATAAAGTTGTTTTTCTTTTTTCTTCCTTTTCTCCTTCCATCCCCCTTCTCCCTGTGAGCAGGGAGCATCCAGGGGGTCCCCATCTCCTCCCAAGCAGAGCTGCTCCCGGTCTGCCTTCCAGCTGGACAGGACCACCCGGTTTTGCCTGCTGGCCACTGGGATGCTGAGCCCAGGCATGCCAAGCGATACTGGGGCAGCGGTGGTAGTGACAAACAGTTGGGTTTTCCTTTTATTTTAACCTGGAAGGTGGCAGTCCTGTCCCCAGTGGAGCAGCTCCTGGGCTGCGCAAACACTCCGGGAGCAACAGCCACACCTTGGAAGAGATTTACTTAACG